GAATTTGACAACTTATATTGAAGAGGTTTTTAATAGTCTTTATGTACGCGACCACCTTAATTCGGATGTTGGTTTTGGCGAAGAGGTATGGCTCCTTTTTGCTGGGGATAAGGGTGGAAAGTATATGAAACTCCATTTTGAAGTTGTCAATTCTAAATCATCAGGGTCTGTATATGGTGTTTATTTGTTTTGTATGTATCAGGGTTTAGACTGTCGTGAGAATATTGCCTTAATTCTCAAGCATTATGCCAACGATATTAAAAGAATTCAGTCGTCAGATTTTAAGCTAAAATGCAAAATAGTCAGGTTGTTCTTAGGTGGAGATTTTGATTTCATCAATGATGTTCTGGGACACCAGGGTTCAGCTGCTAGCTTTCCTAGTTCTACAGATCTAGTTGAATTGAGTTCTCTTAGAAACCATGCTTCTATGCCTCACACACCTGCTAACTGTAACATCTTAAGGAGGACAATACAATCTCTGGAAGGTGCTTACAGTGAGAACTTGTGTGATAATAGACAAGGTGGAAACTTAAGAGCTCTAGGTAAGTTTCATAAATCAATTATTGCTCCTGTGATTTTCCTTTTAATAACTTTAGATAATGTAGTGCCACCTGTTTTGCATATTATGTTAGGAGTTGTGTTAAAACTGTATAAGTTATTGTTGAAGGAGTGTAAGACTTTAGATTGTCAAGCTGTTTCGTCTTTGTCGCATAATGAGAATGTGAAAACGAATGAATTGTGGGCTGCTAAAAGTGTTGAATGTTCTAAAACAGCAGAAGCTTTGCGTTTATTAGGAAATCAATTTGTTGACGTTGCAAATCTACAGGCGCGATGGTTAGCTTTTAATAGCAATTTTTCCGAATTAGATAGCATATCCCTAAACTCCTCTAATAAAAAAAAAACCTGTAAACAGCAAAAAATGTGTGCTAGTATCAGATGTTTAATTACAAAATATGATAGTAACATTGATTGGGTGCAGTGTGTTACGTGCAAAAAATGTTTCATCAACTTTGTGAAATTATTGGTGAATCAGAAAAGAGTGTATCGTGTGATATAGCGATGTACCAGTGTTTAGCATGTCAGGGTGAAGATATAGAATGCCTTGACCTGTATATTTCTGAAAAAATTTCTTTTATACATGCGCAACGCGAAGTTTTAGATGTTGAATATATTAAATTGCAGATGGAGTGTGAAGACCTAGAACAAATATCCAAAAGTAGCATGGGGACTCATGAGAGGCTCTTAATAAGGCCCTTGAAGATATGAAGGTTGAGCGACAAGCGTATCATGGTAATGTGTTTGTAGGTAATCATTGCAAAATAGTCTTAAGAAACCATTATAAACTTTGTAGTGTTATTGATGATGAAGCTAATAAAAATAGATTTGTACGCGTGTTTAGTGTTTTTAATAACTTGCAACCTATTCTTTGAATAACAAAATAAAAAAAAAAAAAAAAAGAATATCGAACTCGGAAAATCAGAGTCACTTGAAATAAGCAAGGCTAGGGTTCAACAGGAGTTGAGAAATATTGACATGGCTCTCAATTGGGATGACGGCGATAACCTAACAACCAAAACCTGGGGGCCATTTTTTAATAAAAACTGCTGACCCCAGTTATTTGAAAATTTTTTTCTGTATTATATTTTGGCTTTTTAATGTTATCTTTTTAACGGTTTGTTTTTACTATAACGATTTTTGTAACTATTTTATTTATACCTGATGACGCTAATCACAATAGATCAGCGGAATATCAAAATAATTATATATTAAAGAAAAAAATATATATATTTAAAAAAAAGTTTATACGCAGCCGTATTTATTGAATTCTAACCATATTTTAACGTATAACAAGAAAATGACATTCAAAGAATATACAAATATATATATATATATATATATATATATTTTGTATATATATGTATATATATATATACATACATATATATATATATATATATATATATATATAAATATATATATATATATATATATATATATATATATATATATATATATATATATATATATATATATATATATATATATATATATATATATATATATATATATATATATATATATATATATATATACACAGAGGATGTGTCACAATTCAACCATTTGTTTCATTTTCAGGTATGCAATAATATGCGGTTTAAGAAAAAATGTATAAATAATAATACTTGCTTAAAATGATTTTCAATTTTTATTTTAAGGGGATATATGTATGTGCCAGGTGATATTTAAGTGTACAAGTTTTATGGTTCTGACCGAAGCAGCAAATAAAATTCCACAATTGTTGGTTACAACATCAGAAAATGGAGTATCAAACCATGAATCATTCTTGGCAGCATTGAAAGAATTTGATGTCTACTTAAATCAAAAAAAATGTTAAGTTACCCATCATCTTATTGTCAGATGGACATAGCTCAAGACTAGACTTTGATGTTTTATCTTTTCTTGAGTTGAAAAAAATTTGTCTCTTTGTCACTCCAACAGACAAACAAGAGTTACTCAACTTCTTGACCAAGTAAATAAGAACATTCATAGCGAGTATCGTAAACAGAAAGACACTATGTTTTCAGATATCAGCTCCTTAAATAAAGAAGTTTTTATGCTAGTTCTAGCTAATATATGGGACAAATGGGCAACCAAAGAAACTATTATAAAATCTTCTAGAAGGGTTGGTGTTTCTGAAAATTCATTAAGTGTTAAATTTATGCAAAAAGATAAACTTGAAAAAGCAGAAAACTGTATTGAAGCAGAGAAACAGTCATCTCCCTTAATTTCTTCGCCTGATAAAAGAAGTGGTTCAGCAAGTTACTGGAAATCAAAGTTTAAACAAGCTATGGAACTGATTGATGAACTTCATGAAAAAAGTATTCAACTGGAAGAAATACCAGGTTTTATGGTAACCAAAAAGGTAAAGCCTAAATTATCAAATGATATGACACAAGTTACCCAAGTACATAGTTCAATGACAGCAAACAATGTATTAACTGTAGTTGAATCCATAAAAAGAACCAAAGGAAAAAAGTTAAAAGAAAAAGAAGATGCTGCAAAAAAGAAAGAGGAAGTTAAAAAACTTTTTATTAAACGTATGCTTCAATGTAATTGTGGAGACATAAAATGTTAAGCTTTTGGCTTGAAGCAGTGTCCAACCTGTCTTAATATTATGAAGTCTGTTTGCAGCAAAGTAAATTGCAAAGTAAATGGACAAAATCCAGAAATGATCTTATTAGCAGGTGCTAGAAAGAAATGAATCAATTATTTTAATGAGATATTTCTATAAATTTGTGCAAATTTAGTGAAAAAGATTGATTCTGGTTAATTTTTTTTTAATGCACCCCAAAAACCACATATTGAATTGTACATTTTAATAGTTATTTTTACATGTTTCCCTTCTACTTAAAATGCAAATGGTTTGATTTATGTATAGAATATAAAAAAGATTAGTTAACTAGATTGGAGTTGCAAACTTAGTCTAAAAAACCAAAATTTATATACTTTTTTTTTAACTGAAAACATTTTTAAAAATTTTCCTATGTTGTTATCTTTGCAATCTTTTATTTTAATTGTTGCTGGAACATTCATGTATCAAAAAACATTTCTTTTGTGTTTTTAAAATACAGATTTAAATTTTTATAGCCATATAACTGACCACGCTGTTTTGGGGTGTCTTTCACCTGTATATATTAAGATCTATATTAATAGATAATATAAATATTCCAAAAAAAATATTAATCAATATTAAAAGATAATTTAATTTCAAAAAAAAATTTTTTTCAAATAACTGAACGTATTTGAAATTTCCGCCACATAAACGATCATTTTATGTGACTTTTTTTCAGAAAATATTTTTTCAGAAAATATTAGGTCATTAAAAAAAGACATTTAACCACAACTGAGAGTTTTTAAAAAAACAAATTGTTTTATATAGAAAATTTTTAATTAAAGACTTTAAATTAAATATAATTTTAAAAACTTTAATTTAGGTTTAAAGGAAAGCAAAATAGTAAAATGTAAAATTTAGTTTCGAATGATTGTAAAATGTTTTGCAACTTTTATTAAAGAAGTCTTTTTCTTATAAAATATAAGTCTCTCTGTCATAGATTATAATATGCAAAAGCAAATTAAAAACTTTTTTTTTCCTTATAAAAAGGAAGAAGTGCTTTTGTTTAAGAAAATTTTTTTTACAAATGTATTTAAAATTTTTTGTTTCTTATTAATTCAATATTGTGCAAACTTCTTTTGACAAAATACATTTATAAATATAAATTAGGTTTACAAATTGTTTATTCATAAATTCCTTCTTAAAAATACTACTTTAAATAAGTATAAACTTAAATAGATAAATAAATTTTGTGAACAAACAAAAGATTATGTTAAGTATAAAGTAGTTTTAAGAAATAAATTATCAAATACCGAATTTAGATTCATAATTAATAATTTTTGTTTAATTAGTTTAAATAATTTTCAACGAAATTTAAAATTAAATTTAACAAGAACCTGATACTTAAAAATATTTTCAAAATATCAATAGTTTTCAGGCTACTGTAACAAATAGGATCCTAATAATTACAACACATTAAAAGCAAAGGGTTTTAAAGTATTTGTAACTTATTTTTTCTATTTGTCAAGACTTTGTTGTTACTTACGCAAATTATTTCTTGTATACACTTAACCCTATAATGAAAAATAAATAGAATATGCGCAAATTCTACAAAAATTTTTATAAAAAAAAGCAAACTTAACAAACTGGTTACTTTCAGTCACCCTTCTGGCAACTGACCAAAAGATTGAGTGTACACCACTGTGTATATATATATATATATATATATATATATATATATATATATATATATATATATATATATATATATATATATATATATATATATATATATATATATATATATACAAACAGTGGTTATTGTAATTTTTATTCTGATAAACACATATATTATAAAACTTTAATAAAACAATAGAGTTATAATTACCTTTCCATAACAATAGTAGAGCATACAGATTCACATATCATCTCTAAACTAGTTTGTATATCTTTATAATAAGAAAAAAAAATTAAAGATTTGAATATTTTGATAGCATGTCTATGATATTATAGGTTTGCACCATGGGTATTTAATATAATAGGTTCCGAAACTTTCTTTATCTTATTTCATACTTTAACGAGTTCAAAAATAAAAATCATTCTCATTAAAAGTATTTTAAAAGTACAAGTCCTAGCTATGCTAGGCTATAATGACAGAGTTATCAAAAAAAACTTTTAAAATTTTTTAGTTTTATTTTTAACTTTGATTGTTATGATTACTTGATACTCTATTCAAGAAGTTTCCAAAAATCAAAATAAAATTTTTTATAGTTTTTAATTTAATTTTTGGAATTAGAGAATATAAATTAAAATTGAGTAATTGTTTGCACTTTTTTTTATTTATGTAATTAACATCTAATTTAATGTATAGATATAATTAATGAATTAAAAAAAAAAAGAAGTACTTTTAACATTTAAATATAAATCTTGATAAATCACAGTTAAGCATATACTACAAGCCCTTTTCAGTCATACAAGCTGAAAGCAATACTGTTCAGACAACAAAAGCAAAACTACACAGCAAAAGCAAAACTACACAGCAAAAGCAAAACTACACAGGACACAGCAGAAATCAAACTTAAGATTTCTAACACTTAAGATAACACTTAACACTTTAACACTTACGGGTTCTACAAATACACTATACCAAATTACAATATTAATTTTAAAATTAAATAAAAAATTAAGTGTTTAAACTTACACAATATATTAATTTAAAAAAAAGATACTGACAGAGTACATTCCACCAGCAGCTTCATCTGTTTTACTGACAAACCCTCCTGTCTGTAGAAAAAATATATATATTAAAAGCTTTTTTCGACACTATCATGATCACTTTCGGATAAGTATATAAAACATTTTAATAAATAAAAGTGAAAAAATATAAAACATTAAATTAACACCTTCTCGTCAGAAAGAAGAGAAAGATACTGATAGACTTCTTGTTGATCAAGCCTTGGAGTTGAAGGCAGCTTTTTTATCAACTAAAAAAAAAAAGGATTTTTTTTCACATTTCTGTCAGGTAAATTAAAAATCAACATACAGCATAACACATACATAGAAGTATAACAGTCTACTTAGAGCATAACACTTCACACAGAAGGTTCACATGGGAACTCTTACCTTCTGTGTGGAATATTATATAAGCTCTATAAAATTGTATAAACAGATCAAAAAAAAATTTTTCTTTAGAAAATTGAACTTCATTTAAATAAAATCAAATGAAGATTTTCAAACTTTAGGATCCAAAAACAATTTTTTGAAAAAGTTAATAAAAAAATACATAACATTAAAAATACAATACATCAAAAATAGATATGCTGCGAGTGTTTTTTGATAAAATATTTCGCTCAAGTTCTGTCATTTTCAGCAAAGTTGCAACTATCTTTGATGCGCTCTAAAATATGATATCAAATATTACTCTACTTTAAAAAAAAGAAAACATAAAAAAATATAAAAAGAATTAGTCAAAAAAATTGTAAACATGTAAAACAAAAAAAAAAATAACAACAACTAATGGTATAATGAATAGAATGATAAATTTTTTTAATATCATCATTATTTTTGTGTAACCATTAGTTGCACAAATAATAGAACAAAATATACCTGATCAATTCGCTCTACAACTGCACGTGTAATTAACTAAATAAATACAAAAGTGTCTTCTTATAAATTAACATTTCCTCATAATTAATACTGATTTAATTTATTTACATAAATCAATACATATTACATAATAATACATTTATTACATAACTTGTTATTGTAACACAATTAATGCTGATTTGATTATTGTAACATCTTGAACACAATAAAATCTTGAGGTATGAGATTATAAAAACCATTTGCTATGAATATATATATATATATATATATATATATATATATATATATATATATATATATATATATATATATATATATATATATATATATATATATATATATATATATATATATATATATATATGGTTGGCTATAATGAAACACATTAAAGTATACCTGGTCATTAAAATCTTGATCCAACCTTTCAAAGTTTACATACCAGTATACACCATCATCCTCATACTAAAAAAACCCTTTTTGATTTATTAAAAAATACAATTAGCCATTTGTAATATCATATTGCATTTTAGAACCTGTATAACAAAGTGAACATAGACAAGGGATAAAGCTGATGTGTATACATACTTGTTCATTTTCTCCAGCTTCTTCATCTTTTTCACTACAATAAATTAAGAATAATTAACTAAAATAAAAATAAATATATTCTCTAATAGATTTTTTCATAAAAAATATACACAAAAATCTCATGTATTTAAAATTGACATGCAAAAAACTGACTGACATACAAGAAACTGACTGACAATAAGAAGCTGAGTGACATAAAAAACTGACTGACATATAAGAAACTAACTGACATACAAGAAACTGACCGACATATAACAAACTGACTAACATACAACAGGCTTGGACAGGAATGGCGATCGCACTCTTTAACTAATTTTTTTTTTCTTTACAACTTGACCACGGCTATTTTAATGTTTTAACAACAGGCAGTGTGCCTGAATTATCTGTCATAAACCTAGGAACACTCATTCGGCCCCCCTTTTTTACAAACTAAAGTTGTGCATTTTGGGGAGAAAAGAAATGTAGAACAAGAATAGTCAAGTCGGCATTGTCGGGAGTATGTCATATATTAATGGCTAACATTTTAAAAATAAACGGTGTCTCAAACCTTATTGTTAAAAAGGCGGCAAACCGACAAGGAAGTAAAGGCTTCGATATTATAGGGGCCAACATATTTAACAGAGTTGTTTCCTAATATATCCATTGTGTTATGCCATTGGCATTTACTACTCAATCAGTGGAAGAGGAACCGAAAATAAAAAAGTTTACTGATTTTATTATATAAATTATAAAGTGATTGTAATTATAAAGGCAAAGTTGTTCAAGTGTTATTGAGTTTAAATAATAAATAATAATGATAATAATAATAATAATAATAATAATAATAATAATAATAATAATAATAATAATAGCAATAATAATAACAATTTGAATGCAATAAAAAAAGTGTTACATTATAAATATCTTTTAATCTTTAATCTTTTCTAAAGTTTTTATATTACGCGATTTTATATTAGGCTTTAAATAAAACCATAAAATTAATTATAGTTATTGTTTACATAAACACATGTGTAAATTACTAAAAAACGTTATATATGTTTTTGAACACTTTTTAATAAATTTAATAAAATTTGTTCATTTATTGAACAATCATTAGTAGTAATTTGTTACTTAATTTAAAAACGTTTTTCGTAACTTTGGAACGTCTAAAAAGATAAGCTTTAATAACGTTTATTTCATGTGTAATTAAAAGCGTAAAAAAAAAATGTAAAAAAAAGTTTCGCTTCGAGTTTAAGTTTTTATTTATATTTTAGTGCTTATATAATTTCTTTTTCGTTATGAATTTGTTTTTTGTTTCTTTTTTCGTTAGGATTTTTTTTTTGGTTGGTTTTTTTTTAAAACTTTTTTCCTAATTTAAGTTTAGCTTAGCGTTTCTACATTCAGAGCATTTCTGAAATTTTTAAATCATCAAAACATATAAACAATCATGGTCAAGTTGTCAAAAAATAAAATCAAAATTGTCAAAAAATAAAATCATTCGCGTGGTCAGCAATAGGGCTCGATCGCACGCCATTCCTGTCCAAGCCTGTTGTTATAAGAAACCGACTGACATACAAGATCACATCAAGAAACTTGTATCTTATATGAGCAAATACTAAGTGTTTATAAAAGAGATCAATGCAGAAATCTATTTAAAACAACAACAACTAAAAATTTCATACAAATAATTTAAATAATAAATAAAATAAATGAGAAGTGAATAAAATCTTGTTATATTTAAATTAAAATAATGAAAGAAAATTAATAAAAAAAAACCTTTAAAAAATATTTAAAGAATGTTAAAGTTAAAAAATGAAACAAGTTTTAATTTCAAAAATATTAGGAAGAAATATCTAAAAATAGTAATATTTTTAAATATTTCTTTCTAATATTTGTGTTAAATGTTACACAGTAGTAAAATTTAACACAAATCAAATGTAAAATGTTAAAAACCTAGAAGTAAAACGAGGCATCAAGAGTTCCTGATTTTAAACAGTTTAAAATTAAAAGTTAATATAACAGTTTAATGTAAAAGTTAATATAAAAAAAAAAACACTAAAAATATTGAACCTATCAATTTTTCGCTTCTTTGACATAGGTTCATCTGTTTTTGTTTGTGCCTTACGTTTCTTTCCAACACCTTATGAAATATAAAGTTTGTTGTTTATAAAAAATATTTTAATAAAAAATTAATATTTTCTGACACATAACTAATGAAAACAAAAAACTTTATTACCTTGTGGAAACAAAAACACATCATTTGGATTAATATCTTTTGTTTCTTTTTTACCTTCTTTTGGATATTGTAAACATTTATAACGCATTAAATAATGAGCAGAAATTAAATCACTACATTTTTTGATTACAACTGATTGATCTGGTCGCTGTTCTTCAGGATCATCAACCTCTAAACGTTCTGTAACTCTTTTAGCAACTTTACTAAGAGTGTCACATCCATTCAACAATAATTTTTCAATGATCAACTCCCCAATGTCACCGTGTTTTAATTTTGCAATGTAGATATATCTTTGAAAAGATCTACGCCTAATAATATTGTGAAGTTCGGTATGATATTCTGTGAATTTGTTTTTATACTTGTTAAAACTGACAAGATTGTGCTGAATTAATATGACCAACACTTTCTTCACCTATGAAGATTAAATTTAAAATCATCAAGAATATAGAAAAATCTTAAAACTTAAAGTTAATCTATTACGAACACATAACATATAAATTTTAATATAAACGGTTATATATGTTACTCAGCTACTGTAGATGATAGTGATGTATCAATGAAAACAATAGCGGTTTGGCCTATTAGATGCTTAGGCCAATGCCAATTAATCAGCTCAATTATCAGTTGATAATTGGCTGATTATTTGGCCAATAGGTTTAGCCGATTAATTGCCATTGGTTTAGGCATCAACATTAGCTTATAAGCCAAACCACTACTGGTGCATAGATGCAACCTATATATGCAAATTGATTTTATAATATTGATTTCTTTTATATACATACATTAAACCTTACTATTAGCCACAAACTGCCACGATCGGCCTTTTTTATTGGTACATCACTAATAGATGATGCTACATTTTTTTTCTTCCCCCTCCATTTATTCAACCCTAGAACCTTGGGCACTACTGCAGTTTCTCCTTCCTCTATTTTTATTATTAAATATGGTAGATAACTTTTTACCAGTTATGAACAGTATAAAACAATTCTTGAAAAGCAAAAATGAAAATTTACGGAAAGTATTCTAATATAATGTTAAAGTTCAAAAGATTACATGAGAAATGTAAATATTGGTTATCAATTTGATATTTACATTAATCAAATTACCTCATCTTTACTGATTTTGACATTATCGCAAATATCTTTTAAGCTTCTTTGACCATTTTGAAGAAGATAAGCCACAACTTGTTCTGATATATCTCCAAAATGATCATTAATTATTTGTAAAGCAAGTGTGCATTGTACTTTAGACATAAATAAAATGTGCTGAAATAAAGAGCACATTACATTTTTAAATTAAATTAAGTGAAGTAAGTTGTTATAAAAGGTGCATCCCCTTTTTAAAAAAAGTGAAAGAAGGTTGTAATGAAGGGTGCATTACACTTTAAAAATAAGTGAAGAATGTTGTAATAAATGGGCGCATTACACTTTTAAAATAAGTGAAGTGTGTTGTAATAAAGAAATGCATTACAGCTTAGAAATTAAGTGCTAAAATAAATGATTTAGATATAAATCAGGCAGATATAAATATGAGTGTTGTAATAAAAATTAAAATATACTTTAGACATATCTTATCAATAAAATAAAATTAAATAAAACATCATGGACTAAAAAAAGCGCAAAAAATTCAATATATCTTAAATTGAATCAAAGATAAAAAGTAATTTAAAAACACAAATTCAAGCTATTTTATATTATAAATACATGAATACAAATATTAAATATGTAACTATCAAACAATATTAAATACAATTATTTTAATAAATAAGAAATAACTTGTAACAAATGAAATAAATTTTTTTTAACGTCTTTTTAAATAGACATGTTACGAGCACTATGGTTAAATGGAGTTTTAACACATAGTTTTTGAAGATTTTGACACATAATTTATAAAAATATTATTACGCAGTCGAAAAATTGTTATGGATAAAACAATCAGTTTTCAATGACAGTTTGAAGAGAAGAGTTTGCAAATTGATAAACAACCTCATCATCGCTAAATAAACCTTCATATCCATCAAATGATATTATTACATGACCTTGTAACAAAACATTTGCAAATACACAAGCATCATCTCTTGTTTCTACCAACTGCATTTCTAATAACCAATCAACAAACGATTTTCCACTAAATCCATCTTGTCTAAAAATATAATAAAATAAATACAATTAATAATTAAAAATAATAAACACGCTGAAAATAAATATATGTATGTATATATACATACCTTGTTTCTAAAAGGTCTTCCTCACAATGACTCAAATGGTCTTTAACAAATTTATGACATATTAATAAATCAATATTGGGTAGTTTAGGTGATTTTTTAACTTTTGGACCAATCCAATAATTCCTATAAAAAAAATTATAACTTAATAGCTAAATCTAGAAATAAACATCTTTCAATAAATAATGACTATATCATGACTTATCATAATTTGTATTAAACCATTTTTATAATTAGAGATCATTTATTTATTTGTTAGTATTTTTGAGAAAATTAATTTGTTCAGCATTTTTCTGGGATCGCTAATAATATAACCATTTTTTTATAAAGCAAACATTTTTTACAACGCTGCTTTAGCAATATCATAACAAATCAGGTTTTTTTTTCTATATCACACAATTTCAAAAGTAAAATTGTATTATTAATTTATGTATTTATTTAAATTCTTAATGATTTACTGCTTTACCTTGAAAAACTGACAAGCCGAAAGTTATCTTTCCCCTTTGTTCGTTATTTTAAGGAAACAGGGATGGGAAGGGAGAAGTGTGAGCATGTGTAGTTTAGCTATGGAACAAGTAAATTTTAAACTAAACATGTTCACATGATTATTTTTTCTTAACTTTCCTGTTCCTATAGAAAACTGAACAAATCACCTTTATCTTTCTGATGGATGTTGCTTATTTTCCCACCACACATTATCACCAAATATTATACATATTCCCATTTTAAAGGATTTTCCTTATAAATTTTATGATACTATATAAAATGCATCATTTTATGTTTTATTTTATAGCCTAATTTGTTTTACTGACTTAAAAAGACATTTTGTTGCTGCTAGGAACACCATTTGATACAATGGGAAGGTAAACCATATCATATTTAATTATATTTACATTTTAGTTTTTTTTTATAATGTGCTGTACTCTGAGTTAACTTAAATAGTTTAAAAATTGTCAAATTTTATCTTAGTGTTACCATCTTAGTGTTTCACCATCTTTTATTCACAGTTTTTGCTTTTTCAAATCAAAATAGACATTTGAGACTTTATTTTAGTCAATCTATTAGAGGGTCATTCCATGCAAAATGGTCTAAAATTTTGGGACTCCAACATGGACCCTCTCAGATTTTGATGAAACTTGGTGGGTTGGTTTATATCAATGAGAAAAGCAAATCCTGAAAATTTCAGATTCAAATCTTATGTGGTTCATGAGATATGGCTATTTGAATTTTCTGATTTTTCCAAAAATAAAAACTTCAATAGCGAAAACATGTTTTGTTTGTACTTTAAAGCTCTGTATTTTAAAAACAAAATTTCAGAAAACCTTCTAGTTTTTTTTATCATATACAATGCTATGCTTACTTTGTTAAAACTTTGACATTGAATTTTTTAATGTCACATTTTATCCATAATGGCTGCCTAAAAAACTGAAAAAATTGTTTGCAGATATAAAAAGTTGATTTTTGATGGGTCAATATACAAAAGTAGCAATTTAAGAAGTACAAAGACATCTTTTTAGTTTCTATATATGGTAGGCTTCCTAGTTTTTAGAAATTTGCTGATAAGATACAATTCAGTAAGACATTATGGACCCCTAAAAATGGCTCCGGCTAGAACTTACAAAATTGTGCCTTCCCTTAAATCCACAGGTAACCTATGATCAACACTGATTTTCATGATAAACCTTTTTTCTACTGACTTAATAGACTTTATTAAAGTGATTTCAGAAAAAAAAATAGTGGGTACTATTATTAATATGGGGAAGTTACAAAGTCAAAACAATGAAGTTGGCACAAAATGCATTAAAAACGCAAAAAATAGAGATATATGTACTTTAGTATTCATTATTTACTCCAATGCAAAAAAAATGCATATATATATGAAAGTATATCAAAATCATTGCTACAAATTAGCTTTAAATTAGGACTGAATTAAACTCAGGTTTTAACTAACCTTAGTTGCCCCCCCCCTGTCTTTTTATTTTTTAACATATATATATATCTGGGAGAAAATACATATGTATTTTCTCCCAGAACTTAAAAGAAATTTGTTATTGTATGTTTTACTTTACAAAATGTGTCTGATTTTTTTTCTAATGCATGAAGTGTCTTAATGCACAAAATAAGAATTGGACATACACAATTAAAACCTGTGACATGACAAACAAGTTATTGGGTGTACTTTTTATCTTTATTTCCTATTTAAAATTTATCATTCTATATTTATTTATTGTGTCAAAATTCATGGAAACTTTAGTTTACACTTCAAAAATTGAAAATAAATATATTTTTTAATACATGGCAAGTTCATCTTTAGATCTAACTCAATGTTGCATTGGAAAAAAACTAAATGAAAATTGTCATGAAGGAAAATTTACCAAAATCAAGAAAAATAAACTTTTTGAGGAATTAACAAAAAAAGATCAAGAACTTGTGCACTTAAGATGTAAAGTAAATCTTATTAAAACTATTTGTAATCACCATGAAAAGATCTTCTTGGATAAATTTGAGTCATTGTATGATGGAAGCTTTTGTTGTGATCCTTTAACAAACACAAAATTAAAAGTATTTAAAAATAGATTGACTTAATGATTATATTAAAGATAAAGCCTTATTTATTTATTTAGTGTTTTATCATGTTTTTTTTAAAAATCTGTCAGAGTAATCAGTGTTGTTGTTGCAAAGGAATTTGATTTAACATCTGGTTATAAGCTTTGTACAGGATGTCATAAAATATTGCACTTAAGAAAACAAGAACATGAAAGCGATTCATGTAAAAATCAAGATAATGATTTTAAAGAGATTCATATTTCAAAAGAAAACTTTAATTTAGGCATTAACACCTTTAGTTATTCACCTCTAAAACTAGTAGCTCATAAAGAAAGAGTCAGCTATGCAAAAAGAAAGATGAGCAAGATCCATACTGTAACCAAAAAGAAAATAGCAACTGTTTTAGATATTTCTCTGGACTTAATAAACGATGAGCAAAAAACAAAAGAACATTGTTGCATAAGTAAACAAGACCATAATGGCAGAGCCGTCTAAAAATCAAAGGAAGATCTATTAGTGAGAAAGTAAAAAATCTAGTCCATGAATTTTACCAATCAGATGAATACTCTAGAATGTGTCCAGGAAAAAAACAGTATGCCTCAATCCAAGTTGATGGTAAAAGACAACATTTTCAAAAAAGACTGCTATTACTTAATATAAAAGAACTTTATTTAGAGTTTGTTAAAATTTCTGTAGATGTCAAGATTGGATTTTCTAAGTTTTGTGAACTTAGACCAAAGTGGTGTATTCCTGTTGGAGGTGCTTCAGGTCTTCACTCAGTATGCGTTTGTGAGTACCACCAGAATGCCAAACTTTTAGCATAAAAAATACCAGATATTTCAGACTATAAAAACCTCTTAACATTAGTTGTATGTGACTTAACAAATCGAGACTGCATGCTGCAGTCTACTTTGTTTACTTACTACTTTTTTTGATAAACATAGCATTGAAAAAATCACCTTTAATCAGTGGCAAAAAGCCAACAAAAAACATGATATAGTTCCAGTAACTCTTCCAGTGGACGATTTTATTGATAAAGTTTGTTAACAAATAGACCAATTAAGAGACCATCACTATATAGCCAAAAATCAAGCAGCATATTTGCAGCATCTGAAAATCACATTACCAAGTAATCATATTTTAATATTACTAGACTTTGCTGAAAATTACAGTTTTTTAATTCAAGATGCAGTACAAGGTTTCCATTGGAACAATAGCCATGCAACATTGCATCCTTTTTTTAATTACTTTATGGAAGAAAATAAGATAAATTTTTTTTGCTACATCACATGGAAAGAGTGTGTGTGATGGTGTTGGGGGAACTGTCAAAAGACTAGTAGCAAAGGCAAGTTTACAATCACTAGTTGATCCTATCAATTCATCTGAGAAAAATGTATGATTGGTGTAGACAAAATATTGATGGAATACATTTTCAATACATTTTAAATGATGCAGTTACATTACATTGCATAAAATTTAAATTAGAAGAGCGTTATGCTACTTGTTCAACAATTCCAGGAACAAGAAACCACAATTGTTTCATACCACAATCATTAACTACTTTACAAATGAGACGGGTTTCATTCCACAATGTGTTTACTAATGTAAATATTTCAACAATGCAACAGAACTATACAATTCCACTTGCATCTCTTTCACCAGGAATTTATATAGCATGTGTTTATGATGGAAAATGGTTTTTAGGTAATATTGTGGAAATATCTGAAGAAAATCAAGATATCCTTATAAAGTTCATGAAGCAGTCTATTTCCTCTAACACTTTTACTTGGCCACATAAAGAAGATATTTGCTAGGTCCCAATAATGCACGTTCTATGCAAAATTTCATCTTTTCAAAAGTGCAATCAGCAACTGGTAGATGCTATAAACTATCAGCTCAAGAAAAATCTGAAATAATACATTTGCACAATAGTATATTTAATAACAAAATTATATAATAACAAAGCAAAATTGTTATAAGCTTGATCAATCAAAAAAATGTATTGAAGCATACTTGAATGATTCCATCTTTATGTTGATTTTTTATTAAATGTTTTTTAATACATAATATGTATTAATGATTCCATCTTTATGTTGATTTTTTATTAAATAATAATGTTTTCTAATACATAATACATATTAATAACTATAATTATATAATTACATAATACTTGTGTATTGCAATGACAAATCAAATTACTCTTATCACTTGATATAATCTAAATTTAAACGTGACAATAACAAGATAAAGGGGGAAGGGTGGATTTATTTTTATTTTTCATCTAATAAGCATAAATGCTTATTAGATAAAAAATGAAAATAAATACTTATCATTCTAGTTATCTGCACAACATATATTTGTTTCTATATCAGTTATTATCTTACAATTTTATATTCTGACTTAAATTTAGTATCATTTTCCCCAAAGCATTCGCTACTCCGCCCTATTATTTGTAAATTTACAAATAAATATCACAGCTATTATTTGAGTATGTTTAATACTTGATGCATAAAGATACTTCATGCATCAGATATAATACCAGACACACTGCATAAGCTAAAATGTCTTATCAACAGTAGATAAAATGTTATCGAGAAATAGGTTCATGAACAAGCATATTATGGGCAAAAATATGCATGTTCAAAAACAAAAAGACAGGGGGAGCAATTAAGGTTAGTTAAAACCTGAGTTTAATTCAGTCCTAATTTAAAGCTAATTTGTAGCAATGATTTTGATATACTTTCATATATATATATACATTTTTTTGCATTGCAGTAAATAATGAATACTAAAGTACATATATCTCTATTTTTTGCGTTTTTAATGCATTTTGTGCCAACTTCATTGTTTTGACTTTGTAACTTCCCCATATTAATAATAGTACCCACTATTTTTTTTTCTGAAATCACTTTAATAAAGTCTATTAAGTCAGTAGAAAAAAGGTTTATCATGAAAATCAGTGTTGATCATAGGTTACCTGTGGATTTAAGGGAAGGCACAATTTTGTAAGTTCTAGCCGGAGCCATTTTTAGGGGTCCATAATGTCTTACTGAATTGTATCTTATCAGCAAATTTTACTAGGAAGCCTACCATATATAGAAACTAAAAAGATATGGCTTTTACTTTTACTTCTTAAATTGCTACTTTTGTATAATGACCCATCAAAAATCAACTTTCTATATCTGCAAACAATTTTTTCAGTTTTTTAGGCAGCCATTATGGATAAAATGTGACATTAAAAAATTCAATGTCAAAGTTTTAACAAAGTAAGCATAGCATTGTATATGATAAAAAAAACTAGAAGGTTTTCTGAAATTTTGTTTTTAAAATACAGAGCTTTAAAGTATGAACAAAACATGTTTTTGCTACTGAAGTTTTTATTTTTGGAAAAATCAGAAATTTCAAATAGCCATATCTTATGAACCACATAAGATTTGAATCTGAAATTTTCAAGATTTGCTTTTCTCATTGATATAAACCAACCTACCAAGTTTCATCAAAATCTGAGGGGCTCCATGTTGGACCCTGGTTCACTTGGCATGGAATGACCCTAGAGTTAATTTATTTTCATTTTATAGTCAATTTAGTGAAAGCATGGAAGAAATTTAAAATTTTTGAAAAAATTTACTAGTTAATCTTCTTTAAAAATAAAAATTTTAAAAATATAAACTTTAAAAATACAAATTTTAAAAATATTACATAAATTTTTAAAATTATTTAATTTTAATTCAAGTCAAATATGTTTTTTTCTCAAACAATTGAAAAAAATGTTCAAAAGGTAAAATGTTGATTTTACTGTTTTCAATTTGACAACAAATAATTGGATTCGATTTGAATTGAATCTAATTAATGTATTGATTTGTATCGAATTTATTATTTTGAGAACTTCGATTATTTCGATTATTCTTGAAAATAAAAAGATTTAATGTGTTCAAGTAACCATGAGACTATTTTCAATAAACAATTGTATTTATTAAAGATTTGAAAAGTTTTTGAAAGCAAAATCTTTAAACTTCAAAAAACATATTATATACCTTATAATTTCAGAAAGCATGAAAAATTCTTTTATAAAACCAAATGTAGCCAATGAGAAAAATGCCTAAACAAAATTAAGTAGAATTGCATAGACTTTAAAATGTTAAAAGTGAAATTTTAAAGAATTAAGGAATTTTACAAGTAAAATTTTACATAATTAAGAAATGATCAATACTTAGTTTATAAAACTACTTGAACCCTTAAATTTATTATTCTTGTTGTATGAAATGAAATAAATCCATAAATAATAAAATTTGACATACTCCTGTGTGGTTAATAAATAATTGAAAAGATATAATTTTAATAAAAAAGACATTAGTATGCATATTATATAAATAAAGAAAACACAAAACATTTTTTAAAACTTTTAGGAAGATTTGTAAAAAAAACACTTATCATACGCAATATAATACAATACAAGAATATTTATTTCAAAAACCTATACAATATGCACATATCAGTATAAACTACTGTTATTCTTATGAGTCAAAAGTAACAACGAAAATAAATACTACAAGTTAAAAATTTTTAAAGTACTTTATTGAAAGGTAAAAATTTTAAATGCACTGTAATGACTGCATTGCAAAAAATTGTAATAAATCATTTTATTAGTTTTTAAAACAATTTAATTTTTTAAGGCAGTCTGATCTAGTAACAGATAATATTGGCACCCATAAAAAAAATGATTTTTTTAGCAAATTTATAATTTTATAATTATGACTTTATAACTGTTATAATTATTTAACTGATTTTATAATTATGAATTTTATATTTTTAGATTTGAGACTTCCAAGTAATTTTTGTAAACTTTTACAAACATTTCCGGTTATATATTTATGTACATTGGTTATATCACTTAAAAAAAATTTAACAGCTTTTTAATAAATTTAAACAACACCCTTTAATTTTTTTTAACTCGATTGATTAATTTAATAATTTTTATGCAATAGTAGCTAGGGATACCACCATTATGGAATATACCCTCTTTGGTGTGTCTAGAGTTTTTCGGATCCGGGTACCTGGACCCGGCGAGTCAGTGGGTAAATACCTGAATTTGATACCCGGTTTGAGGCTCGGCGAGTCTCATGATTTGACTGTTCACCTTGTTTTGTATGCAGTGGCGTGTTGTCGCACTGTATCCCTTCCTTTTCTAGAAAACTTTTAAGTAGTAGGGTTTGTGAATTCCTGACTTATCTAGCTTTTTAGATGTTTTGAGAACATTCAAGTTTATGTATGTTTCCATGTATGCCCGAATACACACTAACTTCATAACTTAAATTTTTTTCTGATCAGTTTTTATATTAGCGATTGTTTTAAAAACATTTGCTAATATAAAAACTTTTGATTAGAAAGATTGAAGTTAATAATTTGATTCTTTTAGCGTGTTTTTAAAAAACTTTAAAAAAATACTTTTTATTTATTAATTAAATAGTTGATTAATTTCTCCATTTTAGGAAAAAAGGTGAAATATCATAATTTTAATGAGACATTTTATACAACCCCATTATGCCGAAGAATTCAAAAATGTGGGACTATTTCACCCAATGTAGGGTAAGGCGGGGTGAATTCGTCACGGAGCGAATCCGTCACTTATGCGACTCAGCTTTAAAATAATGGTGCATAAAAACTAAGAAATCTATTAACTAGGTTTTTTCGAAACTTTTTCAACTGATATTTGTAGAATATTACTAAATAAATGTTTTATATATTTACCTCCGATTATTCTTTAAATATTGCAAATAAACATTGAAGTTGAAAAAATATTTTTCTGGTTAAATGCCTATCGTCAAAAAATTATCAAAATACGCAATGTTTTGACCACAAAGTATATATTTTTTGATTGATTGATGTCAGTAGTTTTTAAATAATAATTTAAGTTACTATGTTTTTGCCTTTGGAATCGTCACGTAATGATTGTTAGCACATGCTCAAATGAGGGGCAACTTCGTCGATGAAGAAAAGTTAATACGAAAAATAAATTAGGTTGTTTCATCATGCAAATTTTTAAACTACCGAGCGCCGTTTGAACGAAAAACAAATTGTGATCAAAATGCGCTCCAAAGCTTTAGACATTTATAAGAGAAAGGCTCTTCAGAATATATTAATTTACAGTTAGCTTTTAAAACTTTTTGAAGTTTTAATTATAAACACGACTTTGATGTGAAACATGTAAACAAACTTATTATAATGTATAGTCTGAAATATATATACAGTAAATAATAAGTATATAAAACATATATGTTATATATTTTTAGGCTATCCACTGCCATATATATATATATATATATATATATATATATATATATATATATATATATATATATATATATATATATATATATATATATATATATGTATATACATATTGTATATATATATATATATTTATTTATATATATACCAATATAAAAAAAACTAAGAATGTATTATTACTTATGGTAGATTTTAATAACATTATTTTTCATGTTAAAATGTATAGATGGTACGTAATTATAAACCAAAGCGACAAATAAATTATAATGCAGAAATTTTTCAGGCTGCTCTGCAAACCATTATAGATGGAGAAACTATATCAACTGCAGCAAAACAATTTAATATTCCACGTACAACGTTGATTGATAAATTACGGGGAAAACATCAAACACATTCTATAGGTGGTAAAACAATTTTCTTTAAAAATCAAGAAGAAACTCTTGTTCAAAGGCTGCTTTATATGGCTGATAGAGGGTTTCCTCTCACAATAATGTGGTTAAGATCTGCTGCTTATTTCTATGCCAAAAGCTTGTGTAGACGTCATTTATTACAGAAGTCCATTCCAAAAAGTTGGCATAATAAATGTTTGGCATCACGTGATTGGTTTCGCTCATTCCGAAAAAGGCATACTCAGTTGACACTAAGAATTCCTGAAGGGCTTTCTCGAGCAAGAGCAGAAGCATTTAATGAGAATCGCGTTCAGACATTTTTTAACGATTTACAACCTTTTTATGAACAGCTTGACATAAAAAATTATCCAAATTTGATTTATAACTGTGATGAAACTGGCCTTTCATCTGTGCCAAATGTCTCTGTTAAGGTAATAGCATTAAAGGGTTCTCATGAGGTACAAAAGTTAACTATTGGTGAACGTGGCACACTAACAACATACCTGGCCACTGTTAATGCAGCAGGAGACAGCTTACCACCATTTTTCATATTTAAGGGAATAAAGATTCCAGATGCATCTAAATTTCCTTTGGGTACAAAAGTGCATTGTAGTCAAAGTGGATATATTGATCAAGAGATTTTTATTGCTTATTTACATCATTTTAATGAGTTTTGTACAAAAGTGAATGGGAAAAAAGTATTGTTATTTTTGGATGGCCACAAAAGTCATGTGACTATTGAAGCGATTGAATTAGCAATAACGATGGATATTGAAATAATATGCATTCCACCTCATAGTACACATCGCCTTCAACCACTTGACACACATGTTAATAAAGTAGTTAAACATATGTGGTCTGAAGCTTTGTCTAATTACTTAGCTGAAAATGATGATATTTCTTTGCCTCGTTGCAACTTTCACATTATTTTTAACAAAATATGACCAAATATACTTACAAAAAGAGGATTGATTGTTAATGCGTTTTACCATTGTGGTTTGCATCCCCTAAGAAACCCAGTAAAAGATTTCGAATATAAAAAAGTAGAGGTTTTTAATAAAGCAACAATTCACCAGGGAGACCAAAATTTATCTATTCTAAGGACTATTATACCTTCTCCTGAAAAAAAAAGGAAACCTACTTACTCAAAACGCCACATTGCTCTTATTACATCACCAGGTAATGTTAAGTTAATAAAAGAGCCTCCTGCTAAAAAGGCTGCAATAAAAAATGTGGTCAGTGTTAAACAGAAGTCAAAAAAGGATCACGATAAATCAGTTAAAACCAAATCAAAAAAGACTTTTTTTTCAGCTGATTCTGATCACCCAAGTTCTTCAAGTTTTATTCTAAAAAATAACACTGATAAAGACTTTTGTTGTGTTTGTGCAGCTGTTTGGGCAGAAGCAAGTGAAGATTGGCTTAAATGTTTAAATTGCAATCAGTGGGCATGCGAAGGATGTTTTGGAGTTGATACATGTGCAAATTGTGTGCAATGAACATATAAACGTCTTGTAAATTTTTAAATAGTCATAGTAGTGATATGATTTTTGTTATTTAAATAGTCATAGTAGTGATATGATTTTTTGTTGCTTTAACGTGCTATTTTTTGCGCTAGCGCGGTTATACGGTTTTAATTTATGCCAAAATCATTATTTGATATTTTCTTGGAAAAAGTTTAACAATTGATGTCCTTTTAGATGTCCTTTTTGATGTCCTTTTACCCTAGGCCACTGCAGTCGAGGAGACTACTTTAGTTGTGTTTACAACCCTCTCTCAACTCTATAACTCCGAAACACGAACCTTGACGATCAAGGTTCGTGTTTCGGAGTTATAGAGTTGAGAGAAAAACAAGTTGAGCGCAGTACTACCAGGGACGCGGTGGGAATCGAACTCGCAACTTCTAGGTTTACTTCTAGATTAGGGAAATCATCCTACTGTGACCTCAAAAATGTTTTATGTCAAAGTTTTTTTCTTCTAGGTAAGTTGCCTTTACCACTAGAAAGGAATTTCGTCTATCGCCCGAGTCACGAATTTTTAAATTAGTTTAGCTGTACTTTAGCTAATTCGCCCCGTAATTGACGAATTCGCCCCTCATGACTTGATGATGAAAAAGTCAAATTATACGCTAAAGTAACTTTAGAATTCATTTTGATTCAATACATTAACAAAATAGAGACCCTAATTAATAAAAAAAAGTTTTTAAACTAGAAAAGTTCACTTATTTATATGCGAATTCATTTTGTTAAAGTAAAACATGACGAACTCGCCCCGCCTTACCCTACCGATTTGAAAAGTGGTAAATGCAATAAGTGTTCAACAATAAAATTCAATAAGTAAACATGGTATTTCTTTACCAAGACGAGAAGAAATAGGATAAAGTTCCACCACCAAACGATTCAAAACTATTGACACACGTTTCTGT